CCCTTGATTTGTCTCTGTTTCCTCTTTTAGGAACCAGATATCAAAGACTAGCACATTCAAAAGCAGATGCATATATAGGGAAAACTAGAAAGGTTCAGAAAACTCAGAAAAGACCTTAACATTGCTCTTGGCACAGAGACAGCTTGTAACAATCAAAAAGCATAAAAAATAAAAACAATGACAAAAAATATCAAACTCAGGGGAAGGGAAAGAATCCAATTTCCAGAGTTACCACATTCTTAGATTCAAGTGTCCAGTTTTCAAAAAGAAAAATCACAAGGCAAACAAAAACACAGGAAAGTATGGCCCATTCAATAGATAAGTGAATAAAAAGTGTCCCTGAGAAAGACCTAATGGCAAATCTTCTAGATGAAGACTTAGAAATAACTGTCTTAAAGATGCTCAGAGAACTAAAGAAAGTCAATAAAATTATGTATGAAAAAAGTGGTAATACCAAAAAGAGATAGAAAACTTAAAAAGAAACTAAAAAGAAAATTTGGAGCTAAAAAGTACAATGACTGCAATGAAAAATTCACCAGAAATGTTCAAAGCAGATTTGAGTGATGATTCTTTGAGAAGAATCAGTGAAACAGAGGATAGTGGAATTTGTCAGCTCTAAGAAACAGAAAGAAAAAAGACTGAAGAAAAGTGAATAGAGCCTGAGTGATCTGTGGGACACCATCAAACCAATCAATATATGCATTGTGGGAGTCCCAGAAGAAGAAAGAGAGGGGCAGGAAGAATATTTGAAGCAATAAGGGCTGAAAACTTCTGAAATTTAATGAAAGATATGAATATAAACATCCAAGAAGCTAAGTGAACTCTGGGTAAGAGGAACTCAAACAGACTGAAACACATTATAGTCAAATTTCAAAAGCCAAATATAAGCAGAGACAACTGAGAGAAGAAGAGACAAAGAACTCATCACATACAAGGGTTTATCATAAGATCATAAGAATATTTCTGATCAAAAACTTTGAAAGCAGTCAGCCAATACATTCAAAGTGCTCAAAGAACAAATGGTCAATCAAGAATTCGATATCTTACAAAACTGCCCTTCAAGACTGAGGGGAAAATTAAGGCATTGTTAGATAAACAAAAAAAGGGAGTTCATTGCCAGTAGACTTGCCCTGCAAGAAATATGCTCAAAGGACATCTGCAAGGTGACAGGATAGGGCACCAAGAGTAACTCAAAGCAGTATGAAGAAACAAAAACCGTAACAAAGGTAAATACATGGGTAATAATAAAGTTAAGATTACCACAACAATAGTTTGTAACTTCACATGCTTTTTACATAATTGAAATGACTAGTGGCACCTAAACTAATACAATATTGTTTGTCAACTATATCTCAATAAAACTGGAGAAGAGAAACCAACATATGTAAGGGAATCATTAGATCATGTATTGGGGCACACAATGTATAAAGGTGTAACTTTGTGACATTAACAACTGTTAGGGGTGGGGTAGGCATTTTTGCCTGCTGTTGAACATAGGCTGGTATAAATCCAGATTCATGAATATAACTTTAGGATATAAAATGTAATTCCCCTGGTAACCACAGAAAGCAAAGCTATAGAACATGTACAAAAGTAAATTAGAACTAACACATTTTGTTACTGTGGGATTCACATATAAATCAGGTATAAAAATCAAATTAATAATCATATCTGACTTGATTGTTTGCAGGTCATGATGTGTGATCAAAATCGAAAGTTCCTGTGATATGACTGCCCTTGCATTGGTCAACATGTAAGAATTTGTTCACCATGTAAGAACTTGTTTGTTATGTTTCAGAAGATTGGAGACTGTTGTGAGTTAGGCTTTAGATTGATTAATGATTTGTGTATTGAGTCCCCTATACAGAATTCTATTGTTGTTAACAACTATTTGATCAATAAATATGAGAGGTGCCTCTCAGCACCACTGTTGTGCAGTTAAGTCCCCTGGCGGGTCCTTTCAGATCTTTGATATCTCATCATGTCTCCTCCCTTATCTGTGTGACAGAGGCATGTAGGGGACCAACAGTTACAGAAAATAAACTAAACACAAAATACGTCAGGAATGCAGGAAATGAGGGGCAATGAAAGCAAAAACAAGCATATATAACAATTTAAACATTTACATACCTAACGCAGACCATCTCAATATATGATGAAAAACTAACAGAATTGAAGAGAGAAATAGACAGTTCTACAATAATAGTTCAAGTTTTAAATACCCCACTCACAATAATGGATAGAGTAATGAGAGAGGAGATAAATAAGGATACAGAGGACTTCTACAATAAACCCACCAGATCTGACAGAAATATACAGAACACTCTACCCAACAGTAACAGATTATGCATTCTTAAGTGCATGTGGGATATTCTGGGCAACAAATTAAGTCCCAGATTTTAAAAGATATACTTCAAATGAAGTATCTTCTCTCATCAAAAGAGAAAGAAGTTAGTAATCAATAACAAGAATGAAACTGAAAAATATACAAATTTTCTGTGGAACTTAAACAGCATACTCTTAAATAATAAAGAGATCAAAGAAGAAATCACAAAGGAAATTAGAAAATACTTAGAGATGAATGAAAATAAAAGCAATTATTATGGTATGCAGCAAAAGCAGCATTAAGGGGTAAATTTATAACCATAAATGCTTATATTAAAAAATGAGATCTCTGATCAACATCCTAAATCAGCACTTAAGGAACTAGAAGAGGACAAACTAATACCAAAGCTAAAAAAGGAAAGACATAGTGAAGATTAAAGCAGAGATAAATGAAAAAAATAGAAAAACAATTGAGAAAATCCAAGAAAAAAATGAAACCAAAACTTGGTTCTTCAAAAAATCAACAAATGTAACAAGCCTTTTGCCACATGGACTATGAAAAAAAGAAGACTCAATTTTCTAAAGTCAGTAATGAAAGTGGGGACATTACTACTAATGCTACAGAAATTGGAGGGATCAGGAGAGACTACCCTGAGCAACTGCGCACAAACAAACTGGGTGATCTACATGGAGGGGACACACTCCTGGGAACACAGAAACCACCAAGACTAAATCATGAACAAATAGAAAATATGAATATACCTACAACGAGTAAGGAAACTGACACAGGATTCAAATTCTTCTGAAAAACAAAAGCCCTGAAACTAATGGTTTCACTGGTGAATTCTACCAAACTTAAAGACTAATACCAATCCTAGACTTTTATAAATATTGAAGAGGCGGGAACACTTGTTAACTTATTCTACAAGGCCAGCAAAACCCTGGTACCAAAGCCAAAGACACTGCAAGAAAATAAAACTACAGCCCAATAGCCCTTATGAACACTGATGCAGAAGTCTTCAACATAATACTAGCAAAACAAATTCAGCAAGATATTAAAGGGATTATACATCATGAGCAAATGGGATTTGTTTCTGGAATGCAAGGATGTTTCAACATATAAAAACTGATCAATGTAATACACCACACCACCATAAAGAAGGGGGAAAACACATGACCATCTCCACTGATACAGAAAAAAAATATTTGACAAAATCCAAAACACTTACATGATTTAACAAAAAAACACTCAACAAACCAGGAAAAGGAGCCTATCTCAACATAACAGAAGTCATGCATGACAAAACCACAGGGAGCACCACAGCCGAGGGTGAGAGCCTGGAAGCGTTTCCTCTGAGATGGGGAACAAAGCAAGCATGTTCGTCTTCACCACTTCCATTCAACTCAGTCCTGGAAGTTGTAGCCAGAGAAATTGGGCTAGAAAGATAAATAAGAGGCAACCAAATTTGAAAGGAAGAAGTAAAATTATCTGTTTTCAGGTGATACAATCTTATATGTAGAAAACCCTAAGGTGAATGGATAAAGAAGAGGTGGTACATATACACTGTGGAATATCATTCAGCCATAAGAAGAAAACAAACCCTACCATTTGCAACAACATGGATGGAGCTGGAGGACATTATGCTCAGTGAAGTAAGCCAGGCGGAGAAAGGCAAGGACCAAATGATTCCCTCATTTGTGGAGTATAACAACGAAGCAAAACTGAAGGAACAAAACAGCAGCAGAATCACAGGCAGGGTCCCACCCCCGGCCCTCCCCTTGCCAGACCCAAGTGGACCGCAGGCTGTGCCCACCCACACAGATCTCAAAGGCAGCCGCGGTTCCAGCCCGGGAGCCCCTCCCTTCTTCCTGGAGCTCTTCCCTGTCCTCTCCGCCTCTTCCTTTGGGCACTAACCCCGTGAAGAAGCCGTGACTGCCCGGGGTGTCCTGCTTTGCTGGAGCCTGGTCAGGGGCCCCTCGCACCCTCAGATGCTGGCCCTCACGGCCGCGGCTCCCCAGCAAAGGGCACAGCCCCCAGCCCCCGCAGCTCCCCCCAGACGAGGAGGGCAGCCAGGGACGGTGCTGAGGGGGCTGAGAGGCACGCAGGCACGGGGAGCAGGGCCTAGCCTGGGCGCTGGGTGGGGAGGCATCCATACGGGCCATGCCTCAAAGCCACTCGCTGTTCTGTGTGTACTAGTCCACGCAGGCCACCTGGCCAGCTCACCGGGGTGCCCTCCCACCCGACGTCTGACCTGAAGTCCAGGCTGGGCAGGCCTGGGTCCCGGGGCCTCTCTCCTCTGTGCACAGCTGTCGGCCCCGTGGGCTCACTCAGCCTTCCCCCGTGCCTGTCTGCATCCCCATCTCCTCTTCTTATGGGGACTCCAGCCACCCTGGACCTCGCTGTAATTTAATCACCTCTTTGAAGACCCGTCTCAAGTGCAGTCACGTTCTGAGCTCCTGTGGGTGAGGGTATCAGGAATTGGATTTGGGGGCACAGCTTAGTACAAAGAGGCAAGTCAGGTTCTAGAACATGGCTCAGGTTGGGGTGCCATCAAAGGCCAGGCCAGGTGGGGCACAGAGGAGAGATTGTTACAGAAAATATTGTTACAGAAAATACTGGAAAACCTGGACTGGATCACTGACAGAAGAACCATGTGGCACTTGGAGGTCTTGGGGTGCTGAGGTTTATTTCACACCTGCAGCTCAGAGGGGAGTCATCTCCCGAGGTCTGAGCCCTGCGCACAAACAAGCAGAGGAATTTATGTTATTTTGATACGTCGCATGTGAGCATGTGCAGGGCAAAGGAGGGGCCTGGAGGAGGGGAGGGGGGAGCTGGAGGGGCTTTGCCAACTGGAGGAAAAAAGCGGTCTGCTGACCTTGATGGGTGTGTCGAATATTTTCCTTACCACTACCCCCTCTGATGCCCCTTTAAACACTTCGTTTTAGGGGCATCATCATTTTGATTTATGATAGGGTTAGAATGGCTTGTATTTATACTTTTAATTGCTTTGAGCTAGGATCTTTTTCCTTGTGACTTTTTCATTAAAGACCTGAGTGTTCTTTGTGAAGAACACAAATGATTATGTTTTTATGCATTTGTCTGTACGGGCCTTGTGTGTACAGGTTGAAAAGAGCCCTTCAGACTCTTGATTAGCCTGTGCTTACCAAAAAACACCCAGTAATTTCTAGTCCTAATTTATTTTTATGCAGGTGAGCATTACACTCAGGCTGGCTTATCTGAGTGTGAGAGGACAGGTGCTGAAGGTGTAGGGCCACTGAGGGCAGCTCCCTTGGGTGGTGACCATGCACTTTATAACTTCTGTACAGTTAAACATTCTAGAGAGGTACTTTGGAAATGCAGACTGAGAATTAAGTTCAGCTAGGAGAGACAGGTAAGCACAGCAAAACAACTTAACAGTTACACAATAGACAATAGAAAGGGCAACTTTTTGAGGAACAGTTTAGTCAGAGGGGGCAGCAGCAGCAGAGAGTTCAATGCCCAGGATGAGAGATTCCATTCTGGCGAGGGCCAGGATCCACAGCATGCAGGTGTCCATTAGTCAGAGGGTGATCGTCAGATGCGGAGGTGGAGAGGATCTGGAGGTCTGGCTGGGCTTTCTACTGATGTATCTTTGTCCCGTCTGGAGTATGGACACTTCTTACCCTGGAATGATGGACCCACGGAGTGATGACTGTAACTTTGGGGGCAGTAGGAGTGGTTAGAACAACAATGTGGTGCCCAGTCCACTGAGGTTTGAGGGGATCTCTTTCAATTTTTGACTCAGACTGTCACCAGCCTCGAAGGAATGTACTGGGGTCCCCAAGGAAATCAGAGCTCTTTCTATGGTATATTGCTGCAGCTGATTTAGGGTGGCTCTTAAGGCTTGGAGCTGGTCTCTTACTCTCTTATTTCCTATCTGGTATAGGTTCCCTGGAGGTTCCTAGACACGGAGGAGGGTGTCTACACACTAATTCAAAAGGGGGAAGGCCTTGAGTCCCAGGTGTGCAGCAAGCATGCAGGAGAGCCGGGGGCAGTAGGTCCGGCCACGGGAGGCCAGTTTCTTGGCAAAACTTAGTTAGGGTTCCTTTGAGGGTGTGATTTATTCACTCCACTTTCCCTGAACTTTGTGGCCTGTATGCACTGTGGAGTTTCCAGCTAATGTTGAGAGATTTCAGTTAAAATCTCTTCTGCATCTGCTACAAAGGCAGGTTAGTACTGCTCTTTAAGGAGGGCTTCTAGTGAGTTTCCCTTAGGTGGGTGAGCTGATGGTGTTCGCTGACTAGATGCCTTCTAGTTGCAGTTGGGACAAAGATGTGTCTGTCAGGCAGCATCCAACATTTTTTTTTTATTTAGGCAGGCTCCTTCAGCCGTGGCCCAGTCCTTCTCTTTTTCAGTGTACCCGGGTGGAGGGGCCTCCATGGGGGTGCTGGGCCATGGTGAGGGAAGGAGCTTTTTCTGTATTCATTGGCCACTGTTTTAGCTGCCTTATCTGCCAGCTGGTTCCCTGTGTTATAGGGTTGTTTCCTTTTTGGTGTTCTTTGCAATGCAGAGTTGCTACTTTTTCTGGGAGCCAGACAGCCTTGAGGAGTTTAGTATTGTGCCAGCTGAGAATTGGAGAGGAATTGGTGTCCCTGTGTGTTGAAGAGGGACACATCAGTATGGGGGACCTTGACATTTATTTTTTTGTCCCAGAGTAAGTTTATCTGCCTTTTTAATGACTAGAACTGTGGCTGCCAGTGTCCTGAGGCAGGGTGGCCATCCTGCCTCAAGCGGGTTTAGTTCATTTCTTTTCTCTGACAGGTATGCAACTGGCCGCTGCCAGAGCCTAACAGTTTATGTGAGAACTTCAAGGGCTACAGTTTTTATGTATGAAGAGACTGAAGGGCTTTCTTGTATCTGGCAGGCCTGGGGCTGGTGCCTGTTCTGAAGCAGCCTTATTTCCAGGAAGGCGGCTCTTGCCTCTTCTGTCTAGACAGGGGGTTCTTGGCATGGACCCCCAGGAGGCTGTAGAGGGATTTTGCCATTGCAGAGAATCTGGGAATCCAGATTTTTCAGAACCCACTGACTCCCAGTAAGTCTCGTAAGCCTTTCTTCATCTGGGGCTGAGGTGAGGAGATGATGACCTTGTTCCTCTCTGGCCCTAGTGCCCTCGCTCCCTGGGTGAGGAGGAAGCCCAAGTACCAGACATGCTGCTGGCAGATTTGTGCTTCTTTTTATCCTGAATCCTGTGTTATAGGGTTGTTTCCTTTTTGGTGTTCTTTGCAATGCAGACTTGCAAGACAGGAGGTGCAGGAGGGCTTTTGTGCCTTTTGCACAATTTTCCTTGGTGTCACTGGCAGGGAGGAGATCTTGTACAAACTACAGGAGGGCACAGCATGTAGATTCCCTCAGAAAGCTGGCAAGGTCTGCTGCCAATGCCTCTCCATAGAGACTGGGTGAGTTCTTGAACCCTTGTGTAAGCCGCATCCATGTTAACTGCACCTGCCACACTATATCTGGTTCAGTCCATTTGAAGGCAAACAAGAGCTGGCTTTGGGGGGCCAGCCAGAGATGGAAAAAAGCATCTTTTAAGTCCAGGCAAGTGAACCATTTGGCAGATCCTGGGATCTGGCTGAGGAGGCTGTACAGATTTGGGACCACCACGTGTAAAAGAACAGTCACTCTGTTGATGGCTCACAGGTCTTGAACAGGCGGTGGCCTCCTCCTGGCCTCCTGACCGGTTAGAATGCCTGCCTCTCTGAGTCTGGTCGGGAGCTCCTGGATGCCTGCCCTCGCCTCTTGTGCTGGGGTCACTGCTGCTGTCTTTGTGGCTGAGCCCCTGGAGTTAATTCTACAGTGACAGGGGCTCAGTTATGAGCAAGTCCAGGTGGGCTGCCTTCAGCCCATACTGAGGGGAAGCAGCTCTGACTTCAGGTGGGCTACTTGAGGGGCCTGGGCCCAGAACAGCCTCCTCTCCTCTTCCCTGTCTGTGATTATTGCCAGGGTGAGGAACCCTGGCTCCTCTTGGCCTTGGTTTGGTTTGAGCCTGGTGCGTCCAGTCGGTTCAGAAGTTGTTTGGGCTCCGAGCTTAGAGAGTATGTCTCAGCTGAGGAGGGGAACTGGGCACTCGGGCAGGTAGGGAAACATGTCGGGCTTTGGGCCTCCAACCTCACGTTGGTGGGCCAGGCAGAAGTGCTGCTGGATGGCCTGTGTCCCAGAGGCTCCGAGGATAGTTGCAGCCCTTCCACTGAAGGGGCTACAGGGAGGGTGACCATAGAGTGTTCTGCCCCTGGGTCAGCCATTAAAGTCATCTGCTGTCCCCCCACTTTCATCCTGACCGTGGGCTCCTGAGCCGAGAGTGAGAGAGCCCATCCCTGTCACACTGGGTGTGTCCCTGCCGGGCCCCTGAGCCTTTGCCACGGGGGGCTCCTCCCGGCAGTGACCAGGCTCCAGGGCTTTGCCTCACTGGGGCCTTTGTTCTCCCAGTGCCCCTTCCCTTCCCAGTAAGCGCCCTGGTCCCTGGCTGGGGGGTCCTAGGCCTCCCCCCTCCTGGCTGCTGGCTTTTCTCTGCCTTTTGCTCATCTCTCTTTCTCTAAGGGAAGCTGCCATGAGGGTGGCCTTTTTCTTCATTTTCCCCTCAGCCTCTCTGTCAGCCTCAACTTCTCTGTTTAGATATACTTTGCTGGCAATTTTAATGAGCTGAGTGATATTCATCCCACTGAAGCCCTCAAGTTTTTGAAGTTTTCCTCTCATGTCTGGGGCAGCTTGAGCTATGAGTGAGGTGCTGACCATTTGTGGGCTGCCTGGTGACTCAGGCCTGAAGGGGGTGTCGATGCGGTGAGCATCACACAGTCTCTCATAATAGTGCCCAGAAGACTCTCCTGGTTGTTGAGTGACCTAAGATACCTTGGTCGTGTTCATAGGCTTTTTGGACCAGCTTTGATTCCCTGGAGGAGGGCGTCCTGATGTCAGCGGGTCTGGTGCTGTCCCCTTGCGGGTGGGGAAGTGCCACTCAGGGCGCTCCTCAGGCACACTGATTTCAGCCCATGCACCCCTATCAGGGATCCCGGCGGCTTCATCTCTTCCATTGCGAACAGGGTGCAGAGAAGCTGTTGGCAGCCTTTCCAGGTTGGCCAATGTGTCTGGAAGAGGGATTTCATGAGATCAACCAGGGCCTGTGGCTGTCCAGATGGGGAGTTGTGTGTAAGATTGAGGAGGTCAGCCGTGGGGAACGGCTGATAGTGAAGCGTGGACCGTCCGGGCTGGATGGTCCCATCCTCGTCACGTCGGTCAGGCTCCCATGTCTCTCGCACCAGTATCTGAATGGTGCCTGCTCCTGGCTGAGGGCACAGTCTGGCTGCTGGTCCAGGGCAGGGTGGGCCTACTGTTTCTGGAGGTGGCAGGGAGGCTGTGTTGGATCTGCCTAAATGAGAACGCTGCCCCAATTCACTCACGGAAGGCGTCTCTTGATGCAACAAGCAAGAGGACTTTATTCAGGAGCCAGCTAGCTTGGGTCCAAGTGTCAGCCCGACGCAGCGGGTTTCAACAAGGACCCCGAGCACTCAAAGCCAAGGGTTTATATAGCATTTTCAAAGCACTTAACTCATAGTAATTTTCTACACCTGTACATTATTTTTGCAAGTCATACATCCTGGGGTTAAGCAAGAGCAAGATAAGACCACTCCTCAATCGTCAGGGCGGTTCCGCACGATAAGCTTGGTATGTAGGATTAGCTGACCAAGGTTAGCTGACCAAGGGTCACAGCTGCCCACCACCCGGTGTTCATGATCAGCTTGTTTTTCAAGGCCTTACCCAGTTCCAGTTTTTCTTTCTAAGTCACATACTCAGAAAATGGCTTTTAGGCCCTCAAGATGGCTTATGCTAACCTATTTCTATTCTTACAGCTGATGGGGGCAGGGTATCCGGGACCGGGTGCTGGGTGCTGACAGTCTTGGGGGTGCATATGGTGGGGACAATATTGCCTCTTCCTCTGGGTCACCAGCAAGAATGTTCGGAGGCTCAGGTTTCTGTTGATTCTTTGTGGGCTGCTTTGTTGTGACGACTAAGGCCCTACCCTGCCCCGGCCTCTTGCAAGCAAACCGCACCCAAGGGGGAGGGTCTGGGCAACTCCTAACGGGGAGTCAGTGTATGGGAACTGGTCGGGATGACCTGGGTCTCTAGGGATGACCCGCCAGGCTCAGCAGATTGTTGGGACATCTAGGGCTCCTTCTGGAGGCCTCCTGACCCTGAAGGTGGGCAATACAGATTCACACAGGGTTTTCAACCTGCCAGGAGTTAATCTGACAGTGTAGTTTTTCTAAAAATCCCTTCCCAAAATTCTTGATCATGGTGTTGAGAACTGTGGGTTTGCTGTGCCCTGACCACATGACATTTCCATGGATGGTGCCGTGACAACAGACAAGGGAGGGGTGCCTCCTATAGAGAGGAGACCAGTCAGATTCCCGACCATTCACGCTCCTCTGAGACTTTGTTTGGTCAGCCTTGACTAAGGCACACCCGTAGAAGTCCCGGGCCAGGTCAGCTGAATCTAAATCACTGATATGCCATGATGGCCAATGTGAATGCGGATTGGGGCCAATGCAGATTCCGTAGCACAGGCCTAGGAATCATAGACTCCATGCGGACTGAATGACTTCAGCTGCCCAGCACATGCACTCACACACACTCACACACACACACGCACGCACACACACACACACACACACACACACACACACACACACACACAGACCAGATTTTAAACACTCCCTCCCTGGGAATGTCTACCTGTGAGACTTCTAATAAGTCACTGGGAGGTGATCAGGCTCCCCTTCCACCCCAATGGGTGGGACTGGCTGGTTCAGGGGCCCCGGGGCCTTACAGGATTCGACATCAGAACAAGGTCCTCACCTGCCAAGCCTCCTCGAGTCCTACGGGAAGAGAGGAGCGGGGCCGGCCCAGGGTGACGGGGTGGAAGCCTGCTGGGAGATCAGATGGGGTGTGCCTTCTCCACTGAGATCTGCTGTTCCATCACCGCCCCACCATTGCCCCAAACCAGTGGCAACAATGGGCCAGTGCGGTTGCGTTTCCAGGTCAGGGAACCAAATGTTACGGAAAATATTGTTACAGAAAATACTGGAAAACCTGGACTGGATCACTGATGGAAGAACCAAGCGGCACTCGGAGGTCCTGGAGTGCTGAGGTTTATTTCACACTGACGGGCCCAGAGGGGAGTCATCCCCGGGGTCTGAGCCCTGGGCACAAGCAAGCACAGGGCAAAAGAGGAGAGGAGGAGGGAGCTGGGGGGGCTTTGCCAACTGGAGGAAAAAAGCGGTTTGCTAACCTTGACGGCTGGGTTGAATATATCCCTTATCACTACCACGTGCAGGAAACTCAAACCAGCATAAAGGTAACAGGAGCCACATCTGACCTGCCTGCAACGCTTGACTCTCCAGTTTTTGGTCAGGGTTCCCCAGAGTAACAGAGCCAACAGAGATAGAGAGAGAGACGGACAGATGGACAGACAGATAGAAAGGAAAGACTTGTACATATGGAGGGATAAATAAATAGATGGGTGGATATCTAGACAGACAGATGTTTGATAGATACATAGAGAAAGAGATAGGTGGATAGATAGGTAGGTAGGTAGATTGATAGATAGATGACAGATAGATAGATAGATAGATAGATAGATAGATAACCAGAAAGGTGGCTGGATAGATGAATAGATAGAGAGATAGGTAGATGGATGGATGGATGGATGGATGGATAGGTGGGTGGGTGAATCGATGGATGAATAGATAAAGAAAGACATGGATGGATGGACAGAATGACAGATAGATAGATGAAGTGATAGATATCAAGGCTAATAGATCTATCTATAGACAGCTGAGTGAGGCAGACGTGGCCTGGCCACAGGAAGTGTAGATCCGGGGCAAAGGCAGACACAGAGTAAATCATTCCATAAACATGAAGGGCCATGTGATCACCTTCTGCGTGGAAAGCGTCAGGGGCTGAGAGGCCAGGTGCCAGGAGAGCCCCACCTTGGGGCCAGGGAAATCTCCCTGCGGAGTCACCCTGAAGCCAAGCCCTGGCAGGGACGGCCTGTCCCACCATCACGTACACAGGCAGGCAGGCATTCCCAGGACGTATACAGAACTGTGGATCACTTGGAAAATCCAAACAGCTCAGTAGAGAAACAGGCAACGGAAGTGAACAGATGACTCCCAAAAGATGTCCGAACATCTGCAAAACAAGCGAAAATACAGTGAGACACAATCGTTACAAGAAAATGGAAACAAGAGCACATGGGAGAAAGCAGCTCTGGTTCCAGTAGTGGCAGAGCCCTGGGCCAGTCTAGCCTGTGTGACAGCAACGAGCTCTGGGTGAGCTGGTGCCCACGGCGATGCGGAGGCACCGGAGACCAACCACAAGCAGCGGGTGTGGAGCCGAGTCCCTGGGAAGTCGGTCCGATGCAGCCTGGGCATCGGGTGCAACGGGAGCGCAGGCAGACTGCAGCCATCCTGGCCCAAGGGCTCAGACGGAGGGGTACAGGGCTGCATTCCAAGGGCGGATTTCAGAAAGGGGAGCCACAGAGAGGGAACCCCAGAATCTGCATGCAGATGCTACTCCAATCCTCAGATGATCCCCTGATTGTTCTTGTGTAATGGAAACCCCAAAGGGCCAGGCAAAAAGAACCAGCTAACAGGTTCAAAGAACTGAGGGCATGTCAGCTACTGCCGCCCACAGGCACACAGGTTGTGGAGCATGAGTCTGTCGGGCTAACTGCCTCCTGACATATGAACCGACACCTTTGTGAGGGGGGTTCAGAACCAATTCTTCCATCCACAACACCAGGTAGACGTTTAAAAGTTACTAAATATGAAGAGAAAAAAGAAAAGGAGACCCATAGTCTCTCAATACAAAGCAGTCAGTGGAGATCAGCTGAGACAAGGCCCCAATTCTCAAAGATACTGAAGCAGCTGCTTCAAGTTTGTTCAGACACTTAGAGTAAAACATGTTTATGATGAGCGACTAGACTGGAGAGAATCTCTACGGAAATATCTCAGCGATTCACAAGAACCACACGGAAATTCAATTCTGAATCAAAGTACAATTCTGAAATTGTTCTAAGGCACTTGAAGAACTTAACAGTAGATTTGAGAAATCGTAAGTGAGGTCAGAAAACTTAGATGTAACAACATATAGATGCTCTGTTTATATTCATACAGATACATAATAGATGTGATACATAGCTTTACATAACACATATGTTTTATATGTAATATATATTCTGTACATCATAATGATTCTTTTGATTCCTAAACAAAGAAGACATTCAATGTCCCACAGGACACTATGAAACATTAGAAAGTATGTCAAATCGGAGTCCCAGGAGACAAGGGCCAGTGTTGGGGCAGAAAAAGTCTCTGCAAAGTAAAAACTGAAAATTTTCCACTGTCGTGAAAATCTAACTTTACAGATTCAAGGAGCTTAGTTCCTAACAATAAATGTGATGTGCGACGCCGATAAAAAGCAGAGATGAAGAGGACACCTCGAACGCAGGCAGAGATGTGACACACACAGGGAACAAATCACCTCCGGCTTCTCACTGAAAGAAGAGTGGTCAGAAAACAGTAGAAGGCATCTTTCAAGTGTTGAAGATGGGTTCAACCAAGAACTCTATGTCCAGGGAAATATCTTTCAAAAATGAACATTCAATAGACTTTTTCACATACACAAAAGCCAAGAGAGTGTGGTGCCAGGACACCTGCCATAATGGAAAGGCAGTAGGAAATTAGACTGGAACATTAAAAATACATTACTAACACAAAAGAGTGTTGAAAGAGGGAATAAGGCTGCAGAAAGCACAGTTGGTGGATAACGTGAGAGGCGCTCCCCCAAGATCTGGTCTGAGGGAAGAGGCCACCGTGGCTGTGAGGCCGGCTTCGCGGCGGGTGTGGCATCAGATCAGAGCCACAGCCAGCCTGTTGTTCACGAACAAAGAAAACCAGAAAAATGAATACGCATGGTACATAACAAGAGTAAATATTTTCACAAAAATCGTGTTTCGGGTAGAGATATATGTGCATACATATATACAAAGAATATATGTGTATTGGACTACAACATAAAAAGTTTTTAGAAGGGTTGGGGTCAAAACAGTTTGAGAAACACTCATTTAACATCAGCGGAGGTACTAGTTCTATGCGACAAGGGAAAAATAGCTGTTGAGATTGAAATGGAAGATGCAAAAATGTCATTATTCACAAATGATATGACCGCTTACAAGCAAGGCCCGCCAGAACCTGCGGACAAGCTGTTAGAACTAACGGGAAAATCAGCAGGACGTCCAGATGCAAGACCAGCTGACCGCAGCGGTCCCGCTCCTGCGGGCCGGCCAAAGCCTGGTTGGAAAATGCAAGACAAACAAGGCCCACCTCACAACGACGTAAGGGACCTTGTGGGAAAGGTCAAACCCACTGAAGGACGTCAGACAATCTGAACACACGGAGAGGGGCCCGAGTCAAGGGCGGGGGCGCCGGGGTCTGTCCCCTGGACCCAGGAGGACGACGGGAACTCCCAACCACAGCGCCAGCTGGGTTCGCGCGGCTGTTAGAGTCTGAGATCCACCTACAGCTCGGACAGCGTTGAAACATAAGCACGAAGGATGAGGATTTTAGGGAGGCAGGTCCCCCGGGTGTGGGCGTCCACCCGGAACTGCCAGGAAGAGGAGGGCACTCGTGCACACGTGGACACAGCCCAGCCCCAGGAGAGGGCCCAGCACAGAGCAAGTGTGGGAGCCCCGTCAGGTGATGGGAAAGTGGAGTTCTAGGGGGAAAGTAGGTTTCCAATTTCCAATGAACCGCTCCTGGGTCTCTCCATGGCACCCTGTGCAAGGGGAGTGGTGGTCGTGGTGGGATCAGACACTGCGACAGGAGCCAGCTCAGGGGCAGAGCGGACAGGCCGCCTTGTGCCCACCTGCCCAGCCCACCCTGTTATCACCCACCTGAGCAACGGGGCACACATCCGAGCCCAGGGCAGCTCCCAGCCTGCTCCATGGCCCTGTTGGTCCAGGCCCTCCCTGCCCCCAGGAGGCCCCTCTGCCGGCCCCACCTCCTGGTGCCAGGCCTGTTTACTGTGACGGGACGTCAGATGCTGTGTAGATGACTGCAGTGACTATGACCACAATGAGACCGCCCATCGCAGTAACAGGGCTGACTCCGCAGAGCCCTCGCACCACCTGCACACCCAGGGCCCGCCTGTGAACCCACGGCAGCACCCACCCCTATAGTCTGTGGCAGCGAGGCTGCAGGCAGCTCCCCAAGCTGGAGGTCTCCTGGACGGAGACCCAGAGCTGACTCTTTCCAAAGTACAAGGCAGAAATCACAGGCTGCTGGGGACTGGCCATGTCCAGTGTGGCCAGGGAGGAGTGTAGGGACAGGAACAGAGCTTGGGTGCAGTTCAGGGGGCAGTGCTGGGGTCAGTGCTGGTGGGCAGTGCAGGGGTCAGAGCTGAGAGGCAGTGTTGGGGAACAGTGCTGAAAGGGAGTAGTGCTGGGGGTTTAGTGGAGGAACCACAGGCCCGAAGCCACAGAGCCAGGATTCATCATCCAGGGACCATGCTCAGGGTGTGTCTCAGCCCCGACAGGCCATGGGGCTGCCCCGTGTCCCCAGAGACCGTGAGCACAGAAGCCCCCGTCTGGGCTCCACAGGCCTCAGAAAAGTGAAGCCCTCAGCCTTCTGTCAGTTCCCCACCCAGGGGCTCCATCAGCACCCCCTCCACCGTGGAGAAACAGAGGCAAGGAGCAGGCCCCTCAGCCAGGCAGAGAGGGGGCTGGGCACCCAGTTGGCAGCCCCGAGCCCTGCGATTCCCAGGGAAGCACCTGCCTCAGCCTCTTCTTCCAAGGCCCCGACTGGGACAGGGCGCCAGCTGTGGGGCGTGTCCTCCCCCTTGGGGACAGGCCATATTGCCCAGGCCTCTGTCACTGTGGGTACGGGTACAGCTGGACCACAGTGACACTGCTAATGCTCAAAACTAGCTGGCCCACCAGGGCTGGGCCCCGTCCCCACATGCCACCCTCCCAGACATCCTGGGGAACTCAGCGTGGCTCTGCCCAGAGAGCCAGGTGGGGACCCTGCAGGCTGAGAGCTCCCCCAACCAGGGCCCCCATGCTCTCTGGGGACCCTGAGACAAGTCAGAGGCCCTCGGGTGGGGAGGGCAGGAGGCTCCATCACGGGGAACCTGCTGCAGCGTTTCCGGTGGCTACCGCACAGGAGGCTTGCAGCTCCCCACAGATCAGGGCCTCGGCCGCCCGCCCGGCCCACCCACCCCCGGGCCCCGGGGTGTGTCCCATCTCCCAGCTCCACAGCGGCGTGTGTGTCCATGGGGTCCTAGGGTGTGCCCCATCCCTGCCCCTCCCCTCAGAGGGGACATTCTGCACAGGAGCCCCTCACAGCAGAACAACCCACACGGTGGCTCAGGACAGACCCCAAAGCCCTTCTGTGAACCCTCTGCCCCCCTGCCATGGGGGATCCCCTCCTGCAGCAGCCCCTGCAGACAGGATGGACCCAACACATCACGGACACTGGCCAGGCTGGGCAGCAGGGCGCAGGCTGCATCTCAGATCCAGGACAGCCGTGCTCTGCACCTGGGAGGAGGGACCCGCTCTGCCCACAGGGAGGGCTGGGGGCAGCTGGCCTCTGCCTCAGAGCCCACCCACCCAGGGGGCCCATCCTGACACCAGACCAGCTCCAAGCACCCTCAGAACCCACAGGCACTGGGTGCTCAGGAGAGGCGACCAGTACAGGGGACCCCCACCCTTCAATCGGACAAGGGTGCTGAGCCCTCAGCAGGCCAGGAGGTTTCTGGTCCTGCCTGAACCACGGTGGCATATGGCAGCTGGTCCCACAGTGACACTTTTCAGGCTAGAAAGACCCACCCCCAAGTGGGCCCCCTAGAGGGGACCCTGGACCTGAGTCACCACGCAACCTGTCCAACCAGCACACACCCCCTTGCCCCCACCTGCATCCTCAGGGAGACAGTGATGCCTGTCGAGGGGCTCTGAGCCAGGAGATGGCCTTCCGGAAACACAGCCAGGGAGTACACCCAGCAGCCTCCCTGCCCGGGGACCTTGACGGAATTCGTACCAGCCTGAGGCACCGTGGGTATAAATACGGGTGGAGATCACAGTGACTCAGGCTCGGTGCAAAACCTGCCCAGGGCCATCCAGGCGCAGGCAGACAGAGACACAGAAGCCCACAGCTTCTGGTCCAGCCCCACCCAGCAGGACCCTGGCCCGGCAGCCCACCCCCGGAGGCCTCCAGGTCACGGATGCAGCTGGTGGTTGCTGAGCCAGCCTGCGTCACTGTGGGTGTGCTGGGAGCTACCACAGCAGGAAAGGTCGTGGCTAAAACCATCCCTGCGGGCTCTGGGGGCCCAGCCCCAGCCCGAGGTCAGAGAGGGGAGCCCAGCTCCCAGCCAGGCACTGTTCACTGACTCCCCGGGGACGCCAGCAGCCCAGCTGCTTCCCAGAGCCCATTCAGTGATGAGGACAGATGGCTGGGCTGTCAGTAGTCCAGGCCCTGACCTCGCCCTCCTGCTCAGCTCCAGGGTCCTTGGCTAGAGCTGACCTGGAGGCCAGGGCCCCTCAGGGGGACAGGAGCACCCCATGCCCGCCACTCCTGCGCTGGGGCCAGGGCCGCAAGCATGACCTCCGCACCTGATCCAGAGCCAATGCCAGGGGCACAGACACCCACCCCATGGCCCCGGGACCAGAGGCTGGCACCCAAAGGCCCCCGAGCACTGCTGGCCCCGCACGTCCACCAGGACCACAGGCCCCCTGTCCTCTGCCCCTAGCCCAGGGCCAGCCGGGGTGCGAGCTCGCAGGGGGCAGGCTTGGAGAGCACCACATGGGCCAGAGCTCAGCCAGGCCTCAGGCCCCTTTCAGAAAGCCTGGGTGGGCAGCCAGCATGCAAGGGGACAGGCAGGGACGGGCCACCCGGGGCAGAGCCCTGGCTGTGAGCGAATGGTGCCCCTGCCCTCACCTGCAGCGGCACCCACTGCCCGCCCCACAGACATAGCCACCCAAGCAGCCTGCTCCCTGGAGCCCCCATCACACATCCCTTCCCAGTCCCCCAAGGCCCCCTGTCCCAGCTCTGGAGGTTCAGCCACACCAGGCAGCCACATCCACACCCCAGAGGGCCCAGCCGACCAGGGAGCTCTACACGACAGACACATACCAACTGGCTCCCACCCACCCACCGATTAGCCCGGGCCTGTCTCCAGAGGGCCTGGTGCCCCACATGGACGGAGGGCTCAAGGTGGCACTCACAGGGCTCCTCCCCTGGGCAAAGGTGCCTCCAACCTGGGTCCCAGAGAGACAGTGCTGGTAACAGGGGGAGCAGTGGGCCTGAAGGACAGCCGAGCCCCCCGGGCACCCTGCTCTCCCGTGGTGTGCCTGGCGCTGTGTGGAGACTCCCCCACACCACTGCCCACACGCAGGAAGCAGAGAAACTCCAGGCCAGCTCAGGGTCTCTGAGCCCCTCCTGCCTCCCCTCCTGCACGGCCCCACCCCTCTGGTCCAGCACCAGGCTTAACACACGTGGCTCAGAACAACACTGCAGACATTTCCCAACATTCCGAGGCAGTAGAACGCCCGGGAGCAGTCAGGCCCTTATGGTCGCAGTTACTGGACCGCAGAACACTGGGTGACCAAGGAGAGCAGGTCATATAGAAGACGGGGTCCATCTGCACAGATTTCTCAAAAAAACTTATCTATGCCTATAAAACGCACAGGAGAGAAAATATGATCCAAAAATTTTATGCTCACTAAATATATCTTCCACATGCGTGACCTTGGGGGACGGCCCCTTGAGTCCATCCTCATTGAGGAAACATATAGAGAGAGGAAACATACTAGTGTTTAGCTGTCGGAAAATATACTTTCATTTTCAATATTCTATATTACACATATTAAATGTATATAGATATGAATATATACATACATACACACATTTGTCCAATACATATACTACACACTATTGAATATAAAATTATTTGTCTGAATGAGGATGAATTTTATACAACCAACGCAAAATTGGAAAAATATATAACCATTTAAAGTAAGCCTTAGAGCCTGCACCGCAGGGCGCATACGGCGTGTGGACCAGCACGGGTCCCCTGGTGCGCACGAGGCGCATGCCCTTCGCCCTCGTTGGCTGCGTTGGGGTGAGGAGGCATCTCATAGTGTCCAGAGCAAATATGGGCAGCAGTGTGAGTGCAGCAGAGCTGCGATGCCAAAGAGAAGCGCGGATGACACACCAAAAATGTGCTTAGTTTACCCCAAAGCTCCAGGAAAAGATGCAGACGGGAGAGAATGTTGGGCAGGACTATGGACAGTGGTACTGTGGTACACAGAGAGCTCAAGGGACCCACAGAGGACACTGCTGTCCCCAGGGCCATTGCATCTGAGCCCATCTGTGCTGCATTCCTTGGAAACCACGAGGAAGATGTGCAGAGGAGGCTCAGGGCCCTGGACTCTCTGCGGCAGCAGCTGCCAGGGCGTGGGGGCTGGCCCAGATGGGGTGCTCATGTCCGCCGCCCCAGGATGCAAACTGCCCCAGTGATGAGCAGCTGCACAGGCCACCCCCCGGGTGCAGAGCAGGGCCCAGGAAGGAGAGAGCACGGGCGGGGTCCCGGGGACAGAGGGTCGCGGTGCAGACATCCAGCTCCCACCCGCATCTCAGGCTCTGCCTTCCAGACACACCTCCACACAGTACTGCCCTCACCTTCCAGGATCCGTGTAAAGCAAAACATAGAATATTTTTTGTAACTCGGGACTTCCTCTTTCAGCAAGCCCAGGGAAACTTGTATCACCCACAGAATCCAGTATATACATAAAGGACAACCTGACATCTGGCAGACACCACCCGGGAGGAAGGGTCAGATTGCGTAGGAATAGTGGGGACAAGCCCCGCGCAGGGGTGCCAGCACAGATTGACTTTCTGAGAGTGACAACCTCTCCGTAGACTCCTACAGCTTCACCCCTGGTTTACACCAACCAGCGTGGGGGCTGGGATGCACATGCAGCCCAGGGAAGCCACCTGTGGTCAGCGTGGTTCGCAGAGGATGCACAGGGCCTGAAGTGCCACCGCTGGCACGCACAGTCTCTGCCAGTGAGCCGGAGACCACGAGGCTTCTGAACCCATCCCAAGGAAATGCCTACAGATAGCAGGTCCAGAGTTTAATTCATGAAGCCACGAGTGACAGCTCTGAACTGGGGCAGTACTGATGATTTTAAACAGCAGCCACACAATGTACCTTTTGATGAAGAAATCTCACCAGAAAAATATTACCAAAGATGAAAATCTCAGCCAAAAACATCCTTCACAGATAAAAAAAGAAGCATTGGATTTGTGAAGGAAAATCATTAACGCCAAACACAACTGCTCACAGAGATCGAAAGTCAGCCAGAGGAGACCAAGTACAGCCACAGTGACAGAAGGACTTTTATTAAAACCTGCATGAAGACAAGTTGAAAGACCCCACAGACAACAGATGGGGACATGGGGACAGAGTGAGATGAATGCAGAGCACAGTAAAACTGTACAGAGTTAAGGAGCAGAGATAGACAAAGGAGACAGGCAGAGGAGAGGGAACACACAGCCGTGGCATCCGTGGAAGAGGGGGGAGTCCGGCCCGCTTACGGCACGTGTCCAGGAGTCCCCACAGCAGGTGGACTTTCTCAGGCTCGCAGTGTCCCTATCACGGTGTGTCTAGCATATCTTATTTCAGGATGCAGTGTTTCGATTCCACTTCAAAATGTTTTTGCTATCCTCTTACTTCTGGTAGACCCTTCTGGAAAGAATTGATTTGAGCAGCATTCAAAAATACCTAATCATGGATAAGGGGGACAACAGGTGGTCTTAGATCTAACCGGCCACATTCAGCACCAGTGGATAAGGGACAGCACCTCGACTCAGGCTGGGAGCAGATGGGGGCAC